CTGTGGGCAGTTGCACCAACAGAGCCCTGCTCAGTGTCCAAGGATGGACAGCAGGACCTGGAGCCCTTGGGAATGGCAGATCCAGCATGTTCCAGAGGATGCAGAGCCTGGTCTTCTCTCGAGCCCTGTCCTTTACAGCCCATTCTTTCTTCTCCCAAATCAAGGCCATGGCAGGTTTGCCCTGGCACTGGCCTCCTGCATCCAGGTGCACTTAAAAGCTGTGGAAGTTACAGAATGACATGGCTATGACTGTCCTCCACAGTCAACCTGTGTGTCCGAAAGTTGCCAGACAATTCTCCAACCCTGCAGCCTGAAGAGGAAGCTTGAGTGCATGTGCATGTCCAGCAGGCGTCCTGGAGAGCTCAGGGTGCCCAGTGTGCATTTGCTATGATGCTGAGAAAGTCAGACACAAGCACACTGGACTCACAGGAGGTGAGCCTTGTGCTAGTCCCCACCAGTGGCTCCCAGGAGCACTAGCTGAGCACAGCTGTACCTGCTGGGGTGGCCCAGGAGGGCAGGATGCTTCAGGCCAGAGTGCAGTTCCCAGGTGCGCCCCCCTTAGAGAGTGTAACCTCAAGGAGTTTCTACCAGCATGTCCTCACTCTCCACAGACCCTGGGGACCAGTCAGTCCCCAGACTCTCCTGGCTTCCTGGCCCTAGTGAGCAGTCTTCCTTTGCTTCAGGGTGGGAAGGCAGACCGCATCTGCAGGAAGGGCTGGTGCTCTCCCTGGCCCCCAGCATGTGGGAGACAAAACCAGGATGAGGTTCTGAGAGAGGCAGACCCCACTGTGCCCTCTGATCCTCCCCATCATGCCCAAGATCCAGGGCATCTATTAAGAATGCTTTCCACTGCAATAACAGGATGCCAGACTGGCAGTGACTTAAATTATAAAGAGAATTTCAGAATTTTCACAACTAGATAAAGGTAGGCCAGTCCAGGATTGACCGGCAGCTCACCCTGGCAGACAGCCAGCAGGGGGCACCTCAGTTGCTTTGGGCCTTTTCCTCTTGATCATAAAGTAGCTGCCAAAGTCCCATCCATCAGCTCTTCCTGCTGCTGGTCACAAGATAAGAAACAGGCAAGTGACAGTGCTCGCATATGCCCTCCCCTCTTATCAGGGAAGAAAATATCTCTTCCACGAGCCCTTAGCCAGTTACCCCTGAAAAAGCAATGGACAGTGCAAAGAAGGTTGAGCAAGTCCAGACCTGGCCTTTTGGCCTCTGCAGTCATAACCGGGCAGGGGAGAAGGGTTGGTAACAGCTGGGGCAGCCAGGCACCAGCAGGTCTGTACTGACCAGTGAGCAGCCCAGCATCCGGATGAGCTAGCAGGAGTCTCAGGGCTGGGTGAACAACAGGCTGCCTCCGGCAGGGCCAAACCCTGATGACTCTGTTCATCTTTAAAGCCTGATGGTCTGGAGGCCCTTACTGGCTCTGTAAGCCTGTTCCACACCCGTCAGAAATCCATTCCTTCGGCTGAGTGTAATCCATTCCGCATTTTAAGTCTATTTTCTGTTTCTCTGTCCTCAAAGAAGGAAGCAGCTGAAAAGCATCCTTGATACCCAAACCTCCTTCAAAATTGGCCCCTTCCAGTGCTCTGTCCTTTCCATGTGGGCAGCTCTTCCAGCCCGAATGTCCTTCCTCGAGGAGAGCAGTCTACACTTTGTCTTGATCCTTGATCGAGTAGCAACTGGATTGCATCTCTGTGGCTTCTGCCCTCCACTTCAACTTCCTCCCTCCCTGACCCAGAGACCCAGCCTGACTGAGGCTCACAGAGGCTGTGTGAGCCAGTGGGCGGAGGGCTTTGGAATGCAGGTACAGCCCTCGGAAGGGATTTCAAAGGGAGACCTGTGTCTCGTCAGCTCCAGATGGATTAGTCTGGGGCATGCTATGTGGTGTTGTTATCACAACATACAGTGAATGTTTGCATTTTTTAAAATTTATTACAATATAAGACATATTGTCTGTGGAACATGTGAAAGGCACTTATACGTGTCAAACACAAATGTACACACGTGCACACCTGACATACAAATGCACACTTATTCATCTCACGTAAATGTATGCATGCACATCTACCCTATAAATGAACGCAAGCACACCTGACATCTAAATGCACATATCAGCAGTGATCTGTATTTCATTCCCCCTCTCATTTCCTTGGCCAGTCCCTGCCCTCTATGCTGCTGACCATTACTGGCCCCAAACCACCTGCCAGAATTCAGCTGTGCATTAAGAGCTCTACTGAGCTAAGAAACTCAGAAAACCCCACTCTGGAGGCATTTTTCAGTGCAACAGAAAATTCAGTGAAATTAGATTTGGGCTTTCATACCGCCACCAAGTCTTCATTAATTTTATTTCCAGAAAGATGTTATGTTGCTGGGAGCCAGTGTCCTCTGTGGCTCCCGGTTGTGCCACTGCGTCTGCGCAGCTCTGGCAAGAGCTAGAGAGATTCTTGGGACCCTGAGGTACTCTGCGTCTCAGTTCTACTCATGGTTCCCACCCCAGCATTGTCACAAGCCAACGAGCCAGAGGTTTCTGCCTCCTCCAATGTCACAATGGGGATGAATAACTTTCCCAAGCCTGGAAGCTCCCTGGCCTTCATTTCAAATTTACTTTACCAAGATTATGTAATTTGGGCATCACTCAGGATGGACAGAAATCTGTTATTAGAGTCCAAGCAAAGAAGGAGCTGAAAATTATTCCTGTGTTACACGGGTGGAACCAAACATAACTGGGCAGTTACCAGGTACAGAGAGTGTTGCATCTGCTAACTTAAACTCCTGACACCAACTCTGCTGGGAGGTGTTGAAGATGAAGAGAAGGTGCAGTGACAGCCAGAAAGCCTTTCCAGGGTGTGTGGGTGTGTGAGGTGTGATTGAAAAATACAATGTGTATTTAAAATTTTTTTTGGTACCAGGGATGGAACTCAGGACGTTGTGCTTGCAAGGCAGGTGGTAGCGCCACTGAGCTAAATCCCTGGCCCTGTATTCAAATTTTTTTAAGTTATTATAGCAAAAAACACATTACCCTTAATTCCCCTCAAAATCCTCCCTTCAAACACACTCATCCCAAAGTTCATGCCACTTTCTGAAGCCATTCTTGAGGTCCTGTCTCATGAGTGTCTTTAGTTGTGCTGTCATTCCTGGCTCAATGTCCTGAGTTAATTCAAAATGTTGACCTTCTCGTGGTCATTTGGACTTTGGGAAAGAGCCAGCAGTCACATGGTGCCAGATCTGGTGAATAAGGTGGACGAAGACGTACTGGCATGTATTTATGTGCCTGCCTTCCTGTTGGATGGCACTTGGCAGCAGCATTCACTGTATTTTTTATCACACTTCATAAAGACATTCATGAAAGAGAACTTCCAGAACTTCTTCAGAAAGTGTCAAAAACAGTGGGAGAAGTATGTACCACATGAAGTATTTTGAGAAGGATTATTGGCAGTATGTCTTTTACTATAATAAACTTTTTAAAATTTAAATATGCACCATAGTTTTCCATCACCCCTTTGTGTAGGGAGGGAGCTTTCTTATGTATGGAAGGAGTGCTCAGCGCTGTGTATCTCTTATCCATGATTATTATGAAAGGTATCATAGGCTGCTGAATGTCATGGGCTCAACCTGCCAGATCCACTTTCCAATGCTCTTCCTGCATCTCCACTCCACTTCCCTCATCCCTCGAAGCTGAGCCCTGCTGCTTGCTCCCCTTAGGGACTGCGAGCCAAGCCCCCTTGGTCCATGTCTGTGTCACCCTCCAGCAGGGATGCCCCCTGTGCCTTGGCTCTGAAGAGTTCGCCACTCGCTTTTCCCAGTGCATGTTAGGAAGATTACTGTTGAAGCAAAGACTTCGCCCTGTCTTGCCTAAATGTCTGCCCGCCACCCTCAGAGACAGGAGACTGTTCTGGGAAACGTCCCTCACTGCATCAAGCTCAGGGAAGGACATTCAAAGGAAGAACAGCCCACTGATCCTGCTTGTAATGAGGTTCCCCTTACTCTGTCTGATGTCGGCCACATGGCAGCCAGATGAGGCATGTGCCATCAGCCCCTTCCCAAAGCCCCCTGCTTCTCTTCATGGCTGCCCTTGGCCCTGGGACAGGCCCACTGTCACTGTGTGGGATGCTCCCTGGCATGGCTGGGCATCTGGCTTTTCGTCCTCTGCCCACTCAATGGCTATGGGGCCCCCACATCTTGATGACAGTTAAAAATGCCCCCACACACTTTCCAATGCCCCTCGGTGGCAAAGAGGCCTGAATTTTAACCCCATGTACTTCAACTCTCAATCCCGCTTCCCTGCATCCCTCCCAACTGGACACTACGCCTGGGTCAGAAGATGCTGCACTGTGAGACCTGAGCCCCAGACTTCATGGCCAGGGTGTGAGAAGTGCTAAAAATGGAACCTGGCCAGGTGTGATGGTGCCTATGCGTAATTCCAGCTACAAAGCAGGCTGAGGCAGGAGGATTGCAAACTAAAGGGCAGCCTGGGCAACTTAGCAAGACCCTGCCGCAAAATAAAAGACTGGAGATATAGCTTGGCACCAAAAAGAAAGAAAGAGAGAGAGGAAGAAAGAGAAAAGGAAGAAGGGAGGGGGAAAGGGAGGATGGTGCCTCCTTAGCTGATTCCATCTGGTTCCCATGCCAACAGAGGCCTGGTCCCCTCATCATGATGCTAATGAGGCTTGGGCTTGGGGTGTCTTCTTCACTCAGTCCCGGGTGTTGTGAGTTACAGGTTAGAGGCAGGAAGATTTTTGGTGTCAGTGTTGCCAGGCAGCCACCTAAAGGGGTCTCAAAAGATGGGGACCTGGATCTCTCAGGCCTAAGTCACACCTGGTCATTTATTTCACCATCCAAAACACATTCACAGTGTCCAGACCCAAGTGTCTGTTTGCATGTGACTGAGCCTCTTTCTTAAAGAGGACGACACCTCATGCTGCATAAGGGTTAGACCACAGAACCCACTTCCGTCCCTGACACCCACTGTCGCCCACGGAGTTGTCACAGGGATGTTGTCCAAAAACTATCCACCTTTCATGGCACATGCGCATCTTGACACCCCTCTGTCTGCCTTGCAGCCCCTGGACTATGAGATTTCTGCCTTTCACACCCTGCTGATCAAAGTGGAAAACGAGGACCCCCTGGTGCCCGATGTATCCTATGGCCCCAGCTCCACTGCAACCGTCCACATCACCGTCTTGGATGTCAATGAGGGCCCAGTCTTCTACCCAGACCCCATGATGGTGACCAAGCGGGAGAACATCTCCGTGGGCAGCGTGTTGCTGACCGTGAATGCCACGGACCCCGATTCCCTGCAGCATCAAACCATCAGGTGGGTGAGTGGTGGGCAGGGCTGCTTTTCCTTTCCAGTGGCGGAAGCTGCTCCCGGCAGCAAAATACCACTCAGTTAAACATGTTAGTGATCTGGATGATGAGGAAGACAGTGTCATAATGAGGAGTTGTGGCTGATGGGCCAGGGGACAGGGCTCCCTGTCCCTACCCCTGACTCCACCAAGGAGGAGAGTGGCTTCAGGGCTGTGTTTCCAAGGGACCATCTCGTTCTGCCGGCACCAAACATAGTCCCTGGAGGGAGGGAGAGGGGAGCCACCCTGTAGGGCTTCCCGTGTCACAGCAACGTGACCTGTATGTCCTGGTACCAGCTTGGCCAGACACACGTTGGCCAAGTCCATTTACAGGTGAGGATGTTGCAGACTCAGGTCCAGTAACTCACTCAGGGCTGCCCAGCACGGCAGCAGGGGAATCAGGAGTGAAATGGAACAGTGCCGAGTCCCCGCCCCTCTGCTGCTGAATGCCACCTGAGCAGGGACATTGCCTGCTGCTTAGACTCGGACCCTGCCCCGGGGGGTTTCTCCTGATGTGTGGCAGACAAGAAAAAAAGGCTTCAGAAGCTTCCATCTTCACTTCTTGAGCTCTGCCCAGCACTCAGAGACTCAGTGTTTTCACAATGAGAGCTGATTAAGTGGCATCACTGCAGCCATCAACTGTCAGTGAACAGTTGGCCCTGGCACGCTGGGCCACAGTGAACACCTCAGAGTGCAGGTCTCATGGCGCTGTCCCCGAGCAAGAAAGTTTCCAATCTCTCCCTTCCAAAGTCTAATCTTCTCATCTAAGGCGCAAATAATCAAGTATTAGGCACACTTACGATAAACGTGTGCCTCATTTTTCTGATTAGAAACACCTGAAAACGTGGCGCGAGCTGACCGGGAAGAAAGCAGTGACCATTTTCCCATCACAAAAGTGGATTTATTTTTACAGTGAAACTTTCTGAAATGCTAAATGAGCTAGATAACTGTTCAAAATAATATCAAATCCTATCCTAACATGAATCTGAAACAGCCATCCTTCTTTTCTTCCTTCTCTCCCCCTCTCTTTTCTCGGCATCTAGCCAAGGAAACATGCAATTTAAACATCAAAGAGAAAGCTTTCCTTAAGCACTCAGATGGGGAAACCTGTAGCTTCACAGAAGGCAAGGCATTTGCACACATTCAGGGTGTCTTTAGGGGAGCTTCACTGTCATTTTATGCCACTACAATAGGAGATGGGAGGCAGAGGCTTCCTGGAGGGAGAAAATGAGTGGAAATGGAGTTGCTGCTGCTAAGCCTGGGGCTTTGCCTTTGTGAGATGCTGCCAGGCTCGGAAGGGTAAATGCAATGGGGCCCATTGAATGGGGGATGTGGGACACAGGCTGCAGGTCCCACAGAGGGGACAGTGCAGGAGCTGAGTCAGTCTGGGTTCTCTGACTAAGCCCAGCCCTGGCTGACCTGAGCAGAGGGGGAATGTGATGGGCAAGGTGATGGGTCATTTATAGGATGGAGGAACCAGGGCATCCCTGGAGCCAATAGGTTAGCCTGCCAGGATGCCCCGGGAGAACACACCAGCTCTGACTACCAGCTTTCCCGGCACTCGTCTGCCCCTCCCCCATTCACTTTCCCAGCCAGCTGAGCTGGACCCAAGTCTTGGGCCTCAGGCTCATGTACCATGACTGAGGGGCCCCGGAGATGATGCTCCCAGATAGCAGGCTGGGAGGCAAGGACAGCAGTCCTGCCTGGCACATAGAGCCTGGTGGCCAAGACACACAAGAAGCAGTCTTCCTGCAAATGGAGGTACTGAGCAGGACTGGCCTGGAGGGGAGGGTGGCTGGTGAGACCCAGGACATTGAAGGACCCCCAAGACCAGCTTCTGAGTCACTGGAGCTGTGGGGTACAGGTTCCTATCCCACCTCCCTAGTGAGGAGGAGGAGGAGGAGGAGGAGGAGGAGGAGGAGGAGGCCCACACTCTGCAAGTGACTAGATGTGAGGAGCATGGAAGCAGAGCCTGCAGAGCCCCATTTTTCAACAGCAAGTATGGTCCTCACAGCCCTCAGTCACAGGAGACAGATGCCACAGAATGCCTCAGTGTGGTCCCTGAATTGACGAGTCATGGCCCAGCATCCTGCACAATGGAGACCGGGCGCTGGCACCAGCTTCTCTTCCCCAGGCTGGCTCCATCCTCAGCCACGCGCCTGTGTCTGCACAGGGAAGAGGGCCACCGCAGTGCCCAGCCTCAGTCTCCCTGCAGAAGGCGCTGTACCTCCCCATGAAGAGTCCAGCCAGCCCGGGTGTGGTGTCACTCAGCCAGCTAGGACAGTCCCCTGGTCCCAGGGGCCGGCAGAGGCTATGCTCCAGTGGGAATGGACACGGAGACTCCTCCCCCTCCTCCCCACCCCACCCCTGCAGCTTCTGCACCCGGCAGGCAGGGGAGAATGTCCGGCCTGGCGGGTGGGGCTCCTGTCCTGGGAGCTCTGGCAAGAATAGGCTCATTTAGGGTTTGGGGCCTTCGATCCGGTACCCTGAGTCGTGGGTGTCCCAGGAGGCTGTGCGTGCAGGGTCAAGTGGGGCTGCGGGATGGCCCAGGCTGAGGGACGGTTTCCAGTCATCTTCACCTGGCTCCCTAGATTTCTCAGGCAGGCACGGTGACCTTGTGCGTTGTGCTGTCATTGTTGCTCTAATGGTTCTTCAGGAACAGGCATTGGAAGGGGAGGAGCTGCACTCTGGGGACTCTTATTTTTGTCTCAAGGAGAGCTCTGAACAGAGCTGACTAAGGTACAGAAATGAACAAAGATACGGGCCCAGCCCTCCACCCCCAACAGTCCCAAGTCCCTGCCGTGCTCTGCTCTGTGGCCGCCTTGCAGTCAGGAGCCCTAAACTGCAGGGGCCTCGGGACTGTGGTCTGCTTCTCCCGGGTACTCCTCACTCTGCTGTCTCTCTCCTGCCCCCTCTCCTTTCTCCTCCTCCTCCTCTTACTTTCTCTCCCTCTGTCTCTCCCTTTCTGTCTCCCTCCCTCTCCCCCATCTCTATCTCTATCCACTCCCAGAATCCCTGGGACTCAGCTCCGGTACCAACCTCCAGCTTACCTCCCATGATGCACCAGGCTCTCCAGACTTAAGCATATCCCGGAGACGCTCAGCTTGACAGACATCCTGAGGGCCCCGGTCCACCACCACTTCCCCGCCCTGTCCATGACCATCGCCTTGGCTTCCCCACCGTGGGAGACCCCGTCCCTGGTCAAAATGAGAGAGCTGCTCCCCACCCCTGCCCCAAAACACTCAGGAACCTCTACCAAGCCCTGCTTCTGTGATGAGCAGTCGCCTCTCGGGCACTGCAAGGGCACTGCTGTTCCACCAGGGATGTTAAATCGGCCGAGGCCCCTTGATCTCTGCAAAGCTATAACCTGAAGGCAAGAGGCATCCAGGATCAGAGAGGATCGCTCCCTGACAGCCTGCGATGCGGAGACCCCTTTAACAACCGGTCACACGGAGCTCTTCACCAAATCAAAATGGACAGTAGTGGCCGTGGGGCAGACGAATTCCTTCCATTTAATGACTTGTATCTTCTTATCCTTACTACAAAGTTGAGATTGTTTGTGGAGGAAACTTTGGAGAAGGCAGTGAGCAAAGCAGATGATAAAGTATCTGTTATTCCACCAAGGAAATCCCCTTTAATATCATGGGAATAGCACGTTCAATCACATTCGAGAATTCTCTCTTTAATTGCTGTTCCCTGACAGCACCCTGCCATCTCGGAGCTGCCTTTTTACTTCCCAGTATAGAGAGGGCAGCCGCCCATGTCAAGAAATAACCATTATTTTTCATCATTGAATTGTATGCTTTTCTGTTACACAGATCCACTCATTATGGATGCATTTCCTTCTTGAATATTTACATTGTTCGCAATTTTTTTAAAAAAGTGAGCATGTTTGTAGCTACATTGTTTCATGCATCATTAATTTTCTGAAGATCACTGGAAATACTTCGCTGGAACAAAAGTATTGATATTGTTAATGCCTCTGGATGTATCCAGAATTCTTTGGTATTAAGTCTAGGCAGTCACATTTCTATTTGGCCTTATGATTTCTGAATTGATGCCATGGTTAGAAAGCCCTTTTGTGTGCCAAACTAATGTACATACTGGCCTGTCCTAAACAGGACATGAGAGCTGGCTGTCACACCCTGTCCTCTCGGTGCCTGGTGGTGGTCAGGTGTGCCTCAGCTGTCAGAGTAGGCTGTCCTCCAGGGACACAGGTAGAAATTGGGCATCTCCCAGGGACATGTTAAGATCCTTCACGAGAGAGACTCATGCAAGGGAACTTGTTGGCTAATTATTATTTATTAGGAAGTCCTCTTGATGAAAATTATACAGGAGTGGAAATGACCACTTCTTCAACCTTATTCAAGAGGGCAGCGACATCAGGGCAAACCTTCCACCAGATCCACCGATTTGGTTCTGTGGCAGATGCAGCCAACAGCTAAAAAATTCAAACACCCTCAGAGGACTTATTTCATTGTCTCAATAATCAGAGATTCTGTGGAACCAACCAAGTAGCAATTCCTATTCCAAACATTTTTCAGACAGAACTCATCTTGCTGGGGTCCGTAGTAAACAATTCTACAGCAGAGAGACTTCTGCCTACATGCAGAGTCCATAAGATGTGTGTTGAGAAAAAATGATGTCCCTATGCTATGAAAGCACGTCTATTTCTCAACGTATTTTGGAGAGGGTCATTCATTGAGGGGGCCCTGTGACTATGTCAGACACTATCCATGGAAATAAGTTTGGCTGAATATAACAGGAAAATCCTAAATAACGGTAGTTCAGGGAAGATGCAACACGACCAGGGTCCCTGTTGCTCGCTACTCTTTCACTTCTAGGCTGGTGCCCTCTTTCCTCACTGTCTTTTGTGGTGCTCTGACCTTCACATCTGTACTCCGGACAGCAGGAGGGGAAAGGGGAAGAAGAGGATGCTTCCTGTTAGGGAGATTTTCTCGAAGTCAACCATATCTCTATATAAATCTCGCTGGCCAGAATTGATCACATGACTACACCTAGCTACAAAAGATGGTGGGAAATACGGTCACGTAGGTGGGTACCAGTGTGCTAGCTTTTAACTCAGCTTCTTTACCAAGGAAGAATGGATATTGGGCAGTAACTAGCAGCTTCTGCCACGTGGCTTGAATCTTTCAATTTAATAAAAAACTATAGGATAAAAAGATTGTTGTGAAAATGTCTAATATGTGTTTTAGATTTCCATTACTGTAACAAAATGCCTGAGACAAGCAACTTAAAAATAAGAAGGTTTATTTCAGCCCACCGTTTCAGAGGTTCCAGGCCATGATCATGTGGCTGGGTGGCTTCCGGCCTGAGATAAGGCAACAGATCACAGCTGGAGTGCATGATATAGTAACCTGCTCACCTCGGAGTGGCCAAGGAGCAAAAGGAAGAAAAGAAGGGGCTGGGGTCCCAATATTCCCCTCAAGGCCACACCCCCCAGTGACCTCACTTCCTTCATAGGCCCCACCTCCTAGGGTTCCATCACCTCTCAATACCCCAGAGGCTGAGGACCAAGTCTCAACACATCACCTTACCCAAACCACAACGGCTAATGATATTAGATTTTCCATGATCAAAATAATAGATAATGGAGTGGCTAAATGTGCTATGAAAAAGCACAAGGATTAAGTTGTCCATTTACTCATCCCTTCTTCATTCAGTGGACTTTATTCAGAGCCCACTGTGGGCCTGACACTGTGCAGTGTATCCTCTGGTGTAAGGGTACCCTGTGGTGAAGCCTCCAGGGCACTTGTGGTCATGAGACAAGAACTTTCATTTTTTTAATAAATTTTATTGGTACATTTTAGGTAGACAATATAATGACATTCATCATGGGAAATTTGCACCTTTACATAATCTCTC